TCTATTCTATTCTATTCTATTCTATTCTATTCTATTCTATTCTATTCCATTCCATTCCATTCCATTCCATTCCTAGTAGTACCACTATTACTGGTCCATGGTTGCCGGCCACTGAATGGAGGAAACCTGGAACATCAAAACCACCAAATATGGGTGTCCTGTAGTAGTAGTAGCAGCAGCAGCAGTAGTAAAAGGAGTAGTAAAAGGAGATTTCAAAATCTTCCACTCACCTTATAGTTTGATGCTGCAAAGTGTCTGGATCAGTGGCATTAACTGTTAAGACAACACTTCCAATGGGGATGTTCTCTTGTTTGGTGACAACCATTGGATTAGGGTGGAAAATGGGCCCCTCGTTAACATCTAGAACGGTGATCTGAACAGTGGCTGTAGAGCTGGTGTCATACAGGACATCCGGAACCAAGAGGTCTTCATTTTCTACTTTGATCAGGAGCGTGTGGAAGGCTGAGATCTCATAATCCAAAGGCTGAAAGACATGAACGTATGTCACAGTCGCGCCCACCAGCTTTACTCTGTACTCGTGGATTAAGCAGGTTAGTGGAGTGGGGAGGGAGTGGGGATTTTGCGGTATCCTTCCCCTGCCACGCCCAACAGGCCACGCCACCAGGTCAAGCCACACCTACCAAGCCACGCCCACAGAACCGGTAGTAAAAAAAATTGAATCCCACCATTCATGTGGATACTGGGTATCCATGAAAGCAATTTTCCCCAGTGACATCTATCGGCTGAGTTGATGGACTCAACACATCTAAGAGGATGTCACTTGGAGCAGTCTGGCCCAGAAGAGTGAAGAACAATATATGAAATTAGGTTCACAGTGTAGCTGCTGAAGGTTGGTGCCTTGCTCCTTTTTATCCTCCTTACCTTGACAACTGACAACATCCCTTCATTGTTCTCGGCATTGGTGTGGATTTTGAAGCTCTGGGCTGGGTTGCCATTGATGATGGTGTAAACTGCCTTCCATGCAGCTGTGGCCGGGTCGTCTCGATCTTCAACGGTTAGATTCACAATCACACCGGTGCTGCCTTCTTTGACAGTGGCTTGGAACTCAAAATTAAGAAAGAAAGAATGTTAGTACTGTTAAACAAATCACCACCAGCATTAAAATAAATCTGTGTAAGGCGTTAAGAGCTGGAGTGGCGCAGTGGTTAGAATGCAGATTTGCAGGCTGATTCTGCCCACTGCCAGCAATTCGATCCTGACCGCTTCAATTTTGACTCAGCCTTCCGTCCTTCTGAGGTTGGTAAAATGACTGTTGGGGTTAGAGAGAGCTGTAAAGCACTATGATGTGGTATATAAGTCTAAGTGCTGTTCCTATTGATTATTCTTTTTTAACTTCTTTTATTACATATAAAAATTCAATTTCTAAATAAACAGTGTGTTGCCTGGGTACAGATAATTTTAGGGAATAATAGTCATAATGTTACAATACTGTTTATTACATTGGCATTAGTTAAATAATAATAATAATAATAATAATAATAATAATAATAATAATAATAA